AAAAAAATTCTGGGACTTTTAAGTAACTATTGTAGGTTAGGCTGCTATTTAGGCTTAACTTAAAATGTTAATTAATATTAAATCTGACTTAGACAAAACCTTATATGTGTCAGTCAGTTTAACTTCGGGATATTACGAAAATAAAAATGCCAATATTACAATACTCTAGAAATTTAGCAAATTTAGTCCAAAAGTAAACTAGATATTTTTTACATAAATTTAGGCATATATTTTAGCATTAATTTGTAAAAAAAACACAAAAATGTACGACGCTCCAATTTTAGAAGCCTGTGCCTAAAGCAATCGATTTCTAGATTTATAAGTAAACATAATATTCCAATATAAAAAAAAGATTCCACGTGGTGTTCTTGGTATGACGTAATATATCAATTTTCAGATCAAGCTATGCAAGCTGTTGTTACTAATTATTTTTGTTTGAAGTTAAACACAAAGCTACAGAATGAGCTATCTGTGCTCTGCTCAGCACGGGTATCGAAACCAGGTTTCTAGCGTTGTAAGTCCGCAAACATGCCACTGTGCCACTAGGGGGATACTAATTAATATAATACTAGATAAAAAAAATACCAGATATGGAAGTATTTTCATTTCATCTTAAGAATAGAATTGTTTGATTATGGAGATTTTTTGTCATGTTACATTAGACCAAAACTGCAACAGAACATAAGTTGTAAACGAAACATGCAAGTATTCTGATTAACATAATATATGTGTATGTACACATACATATTTATTGTATAAAAAGTAAATTTATTCAACATTCAAAAGCCTTATTCAAGGCATTTCTGAGAGAAAAAAAAGTTGGTAAAAGAGTAGCCCAAGAGTTGGCGGTGGATGGTGATGACTAGCTGCCTTTCCTCTAGTCTTACACTGCTAAATTAGGGACGGCTAGCACAGATAGCCCTCGTGTAGCTTTGCGCGAAATTCAAAAACAAACAAAACAAATTATCATAACATAAATTTCCCCCCGGTAGCTCAACGTTAAGTCTGAGGACTTATAACGCTAAAAATCGAGTTTCGGTGCTCATAGTGGGTGCAACAAAGATAGCAAATTGTGGAGCTCTGCGCTTAAACAAAAACAAACCCGTTGTTTCACCATTAAAAATTAATCATTATATTCTGTAAATACAGCCAAAACTTGTCTACATGAACGGAATGAATTTCCAGCTACATTTAGTTTTCTATCATTATGGTAAAATGGTAGATTTCCGAAAGAAGAAACAAAATCAAGGGTGTTCTCAGTACATTAAAACAATGAGATAATTAGATCTGAAAGCTTTTAAAATTTTATCACATTTATAAAGATTTTTTTTTAATATTGAATGTATACTAAATTATATGTTAATAAATAAATAAAGAATAAAGTT